ATCATGACATTCTTGTGGTAATCTCGAGAGACAATCAGGAACAACATTATATTTCACGGCTTTATACTTTATATTAAAATCATATCCTCCTAATGTAATATTCCACTTCTGGAGTCTTAAGGACATGGTGCTATTATCCTTAAAACCCTTGGTAAAGATGTGAACTAGAGGTTTATGGTCAGTAATAATTATAAATTTTGTGCCGATTAAGTATTCCTGGAACCTTCTTATAGCGAACATAATGGCGAGAGCCTCACGCTCAATATTGGTATAGTTCATTTCGGATTTTAATAAAGTTCTTGACGCGAAAGCTATAGGTTTTTCTTTACCATCTTTTTAAGTATGAAATAGTACAGCTCCTAAACCACATTTCGATGCATCAGTGGCTATCCCTATAGGTAATTCAGGGTTAAAATATGTCAAAGCAGGTGGAAGACTAATCAACTTCTTAAGATCATTAAAACTTTTAGAGTGTTCTAGATTCCAAGCCCATTTTTCTTTGTTGACATTCTTATATAGAGGATAAGCAATTTCTGCAAAATTGTTCGAAAATTTTCTATAGTAGCCAGCCATTCCAAGAAATGTTGATAATTCAGCAGCTGATTTTGGTTCTGGCATATTAATTATTGCTTCAATTTTGTCGTGATTAGCATGAATCCCCTTGGCTTCAATATCATGACCCAGGAACCTCACTTTGTTTTTAAAGAACACACTTTTATTGAAGTTAGGTATTAGATCAAACGATGATATTCGATCAAACACTTTTTTTATGTTGTTAAGGTGGGCTTCATCGTTTTTTTCCAGTTATAAGTAAATCATCAATATAAAATATGACGTCATTCATATCGCCGAAGATTTGATCCATGATCTGTTGAAAAATTGCAGATGAGGTCTTAAACTCAAAAGGAAGTCTAGTAAATTGGTAATATCTCTTGTGCGTAGATATGGTTAAAATATTTCTACAACTTTTATCAATTGGTATCTGTAAGGAAGCATTTTTAAAGTCAATCTTCGTAAATTTCTTTCCTTCTGAAAGTTTAGCTATTAGATCATTGATTCGTGGTAGAGGGTATCTGAAATCTTCTAGAGCTGGGTTTACAGTGTCCTTAAAATCAGCACAAAGCCTAATGCTCCCATCATCTTTGTAGACAGCGGTAACAGGACTTGCCCATCGGACATCATTCACCTGCTCAATTATTTTATCATGTATCCATTTTTTAAGTTCATTGCTTACAAGATCAATTTTTGAATAAGGAATACGTCTGGGCGGTATAATTTTAGGTTTGGAATCTCTTCTTAAATGTAACTTGACACTTGTTTTGTTGATTGGCCCATTAGTCAATTTGGATTCACACTCTTTAATCAATTTTTTATTTCATCTTCGTAATTAGTGTCAACATTTTCTATGAATTTATTTAAAATATTTTTGGAAGCATTGATCTATGAACGTCCCAACAAGGCATTTTTACTTGATTCGACGACTACCGCTTGTAAATATTTTGAGATACCTTCATAAGTCACTTTAACTTGAGTGATGCCGATGATCTTGAATAAATTTCCGTCATAAGCGGTAAGTTGTAACTCGGATTTCTTAACATCTCTAATACCAAGTTTTTTAGCCAGACCATGAGGTATAATAGTATGTTTCGAGCCTTTATCGACTTGCATACATGTAACAATATCGTTCACTTTTAAAGTACACATAAATGCATTATCTTTGTCATTGAGCATGTCACCAGATATGTTGTTAACATTGAAATCGTTATCATCTTTGTTCTTTGTATAGTGAACTTTCTCTTCAATAATTTCTTCAATATTCATATTATAATCATTGTTGTATTGTATTTGCTTTCTAATATTGTTGTCGCTACCACTATAATTATTTGAGTTATTGTTATATTGTATTTGCTTTCTCTGATTATTGTCACTACCTCTATAATTACTTGAATTGTTGTAATAAGATTGGTAATTGTTACGATTTCCGTCACCGTATTGGATCTGTTTTCTTTGATTATTATCATGCCATGTATTATTTCTACCATAATTAGATTGATTATTATTGTTGTAGCGATAGTTATTGTAGTTATAGTTGTTACAATTATCGTGGTAGCTCAAATTATTATTACCGTAATTCATATCATTGTATCTAAAATTATTATTGTAATTCCTATCTCTATTTCTATTATCATAATTATTTCTAAAATTATTATCAGGTCTAAAATAATTATTATTATCATTTCTATTTCTATTGTTAAAGTTTTTATCTTTATCAGACTTTTTATTGTTATTCATATAACTTATATTATCAACATCTGATTTATCATTGATACTATCTAATTTAATTCCTAGCTCTACCATATCATTTAAAGTTAAATTAATATTTTTACAAAATTTATATTTTATTTTGTCATTTAAGGTAGATGTACGTAATTTTTCTTTTAATCTACTGTCGTCCGAAAAATTACATTTTTTATGCAGTTTCGATACTCTTATGTACCATTGCATGAAATTCTCACTCGAATTTTGCTGTAATAAGTTAAATTTGTTTATTAAAATGTTTTTATCTTGCACAGGTAAAAGGTAAGTTAACTTTTTAGTCACTATTTTAAGATCTAATATGACGGTATCGGAACAAATTGATTTAATATTGTCAAAGACCTCGTCTGATAAATTATTAAGCAAAGTATTTATTTTAATAGAGTCCGATAGTGTGCTGGTCGAAAAATAACTTAATATTCTGTCTAGGTAAATCTCAGTAAGTGGTCCAACCAATTTTAGAATTTTGTATATTAATTCTGGTTTTATATCCATGTTTTATTAATAAATCGTATATATTAGAAATTATAACATATCATATTTTAACAAAAATGCAATGGAGTATGATAAACTCCGTCTCCTTGTATACGTAGTCTTTCCCATTCAGTAGTTCAAAACAATTAATCATTTCCTTAAGTTTCACAAATTCAAATAAAACGTCGTCACTACCCAGTATCCTTGAGTAGTGCACATCACAATTGTAAGTCAATTCAAATAGTATATCGTAAACAGAAATTTCCCAAGGAATATTAACGAGTTTGAAAGAAAACGTAATGGAAATAATCTTAAAATGATTTTACCTTTTTTCTCCTTCTTTATGTAGAATTTATTTGTTTCATTTAATAATTTTTTTATTATTCATATTTTCTAAAAAAAAAATTCCGTGGTGGCGAGTTTTTTTTGACAACGGAGCACGATAAAGAGAATAAGGATTTTAACGATTATGGTGAGAGTAAGTAAAAATATATTTTATTATTATCCTTTTCTATCTTCGTACACACACTATATATATATTATCTAAAAATATAAATTAGAATACATATAATCAAAACGAAAAACAAAAAGTAATAATAGGTAAGGTTACAAAAATTAGATTAAAAATATAAATTTTTAAATTAGTAATCAAAACGAAAAACAAAAAGTAATAACAGTATTACAACAACAAACAACTACTTTTTAATGTATCTATGTTTTTTTTACTTAATTCATTTTTTTTTTCTCTTGAAAAACGAAAATCGATAAATTTTTCTTTTCTTTAAATATGAAATCGTACATAAAAAAAAATAATTGTCTCTTTTTTTTCGCGCTTATATATTTATTTTTTTACAAAATCATCGCCGTTTATTTATTATTTTATTTATCAAAAGGCAATCAACTTTTTTTTAATATTTATTTATTCAACTCCTTATTAATCGTATACTTTGCCATTATATTCCTTTAGTGCTAGGCATAATAGCTTGCTCCCTTAACAAACCATCTTAATTTTTTTTTATAAATTACAAGTGTTTTATTTTAATTATTTTTGCAAAGAATATAATTTTATATGGATAAGATAACATGTTTCATTAAATCATAACAACTAAGTGAATGCCAGCGTTGCCTGTTTGTATATAGAAAAAAAAATGTTTTTTTTATTCTTTAACTTTAAAAAAAAAATTATTCTGTAAAAATACTCTTCACCCTACCCATAGTGGCGGCACTATTTTATTATGAATAAAAATAATCGTAAGAGGAAAATAATTTCCAGGAAAAGAAAGAAAACATGATAAATTTTCCACAAAAAACCTAAGATATGGGAACTAATTGAAAAGATGATGATGGAAATAACCGTCGACCTGGACAAATCGGCCAATAGAGGAATCAGACGTACACTCCAAAAAAAATTGTAGATACCATACAAAACAAAATATTTTGAAAAATTTATGTATTGATTTTTTAAATGAGAGAAGAGACTTACCTAATTTTCTCTTGGAGAACATATTGTTTCATTTGAATAATATAACTTATTTTTCTATATATCATTTATTAAAATTATAATTATTTCTTATCTGTAAATTTAAAAAAAATTTCATAAGCAAAATAATAATTGTAAGATTTGAAATATATAATATTCACTGCTTATAATCACCTCTGAAATAGATATTTTTATGAATAAAATTCAAGGTAACAATGTTAGTAACTACGTTACTTTTTTTAACATTACTTTACAGCACAAATTAATATATAAATATTTGTATTTTAGAAGGCAGATTTTATAATTTTTATTCTGATCATACTTAGGGTTGAACATCTGTTGGTTACCGGATTAATTTATTAATCTATTTAATTAAAACCTATTGACCAAGACATATAAAAGTCTATAATAAATTAATCAATTGTTTTAGTTAAAAAAATCAGCAATATATAATCAAAAATAATTATTTGAATAAAATAAGGATTCAAAATTTAAATTTTGTATTTCTTTTATCAATTATTTCCTTCCTTATACTTATTTAGATGGACATGATACAAAAAATTTGAATAATAAAATTTTACAAATTTTATAAATTATGGATTTTCTCAAATGACAAAATTTAAAATATCCTTTATTAAAATATAATAAATAATAATATGACATTTTAAAAAAACTACAACTTAATTAATATGCAGAAAAAAATTTCATAGATGGAAAAGATGTAATCCATTTCACCAATCTTTTCCTCACAAATATAACACCATTCATTCTCAATATAAATATAGAACTTCCAATATAATTTTACTTTCCCAAAGAATAATAAATTCAATTTTTATATGTTAGCATTTTTTACAATTAATAATAAAAATATCTAAAAGACAATTGAATATATTTGTAATAAAATGAAATTTACATTGAAACATATTCACCACCATCCTGATAAATCTAAAGAAGAGCATTATGCAATTATGAATAAACTTAAAGTACAAATTATCCCCACATCACTGTCTTCAACTTCTTGTGGAGGATTGAACATTTGACTTTCCTCCAACAAGTTCCCAGAATTCCCCACATCACTGTCTCCAACTTCTTGTCAAGGATTTATCAAAGGAGGCACTAATGTCGTGACTTAAGGAAAAATATATTAAGAAAAATTTGATTAAATATTTATAATAAAACTTAAAAATAATTTTGTAAAATACTTCCTCTTCTTCCACTCAAATATTTGCAAATATCTAGAAAACAATAAATCACATCTTATATATTAAATAATTTACCGTTGCATACTGCTGTTTCAGTAAATAGGTTATTTACTGTGTAACCTCTCCCGAGAAATACAGGTAAAATATATTTTATTTTTATAATAACTGATTTTCTATATGTAGGTATCATTATTTAAAAAATTCTAAAAGATTGTTATAAATATAAAATATCTATTAGAAAATATAAATAATTTACCATAATTATAGTTCTTCTAATGTTCTATTTCTTAGAAAATATAAATATTCCTAATTTTATCCATGTGTTCAAATGCTGTTAAAATTATAAAACATATATGATAAATTTTAGAAAAAAAAATTTGCCATATATCATTAAAACCAATTACCTTGGCCTTGTTCAGAAAATATTTTCTAATAATATAGAATACTAAGATAGAATCTTGCAAATACTAAGATAGATTTTTGCTAATACTAAGATAGAATCTTACTAATGCTAAGATATAATCTTACTAATACTAATATGTAAATATTAATTAAAACCAATTACCTTTGCCTTGAGGTACTGTATTTATATTTGATATTAGCTTTTAAGGTTTAGTCTTTATTTTATAATTTTCGACAAAAATGGTATGTAAGGTTTAGTCTTTATTTTATAATTTTCTACAAAAATGGTATATAAATAGCTTTTGAGGTTTAGTCTATTTTATATTTTTCTACAAAAATGGTATGTAAATAGCTTTTGAGGTTTAGTCTTTATTTTATATTTTTCTACAAAATGATATATAAATAGCTTTTGAGGTTTAGTCTTTATTTTATAATTTTCTACAAAAATGGTATGTAAATAGCTTTTGAGGTTTAGTCTTTATTTTATAATTTTCTACAAAAATGGTATGTAAATAGCTTTTGAGGTTTAGTCTTTATTTTATAATTTTCTACAAAAATGGTATATAAATAGCTTTTGAGGTTTAGTCTTTATTTTATAATTTTCTACAAAAATGGTATGTAAATAGCTTTTGAGGTTTAGTCTTTATTTTATAATTTTCTACAAAAATGGTATATAAATAGCTTTTGAGGTTTAGTCTATTTTATAATTTTCTACAAAAATGTGTATGTAAATATTAATTAAAACCAATTACCTTTGCCTTGAGGTACTGTATTTATATTTAATATTAGCTTGGTTTTGTTTTAATTTTAGAATTTTCTACAAAAATGTGTATGTAAATATTAATTAAAACCAATTACCTTTGCCTTGAGGTACTGTATTTAATTTTAGAATTTTCTTGGCTTTATTTATGTCTACCCTATAAATGTAAGGATGCGAGAAAGATTCCGATTCCAAGCGCCGATATTAATTTTAGAATTTTCTACAAAAATATAATTTTACGTGATACGTGATATATAGCGCTTTTGCCCTCTAACGTTGAAGATTCAACAGAGCTACGCTAGGTTTTCCTCATTTCCATCTAATTGGAACAATTTAATTTGGGTATAAAAATAAAAATATGAGGAGCCCTCCACACGTTTGTGGGCAAGCCGCACGTACTTGTAGGCACAACATTTCGAAAAATGTTGCTTAAACCTCTATAGGCTTTAATTTAGAAGGAGTGGGACAAAGAAAAAGCCTATACTCGAGAACTACAGTATAATTTAATTACTTTAAAGGTGGGTGATGGCTGATTTTAAGCTTAATTTCTTTAATGTAAGTTATATCTGTAAATAAATATGATTAAAATAAAATAATATTTACCACCGGATGAACCGAAATACACATGAGCTTTTCTTAAATTGTGGATCAAAAAGTTTATTAAGAAACTGAACAAAATTTACAAATTTGCGAAATAATTAATTTGTCAAAAAATATAATTTTATAATTTTATGAAAAATAATTTGCCATTTGACTCCAAATGGTTTGATGACAAAAGAAAGAAAAATGAATCGGACCGATACCGGGATTTTTTATTTTTCGCTATTCTGATTTTCGCTGTTTCGTACCGAATTCCCTTGAGGTGAGCTTATCATGGAAAGTTCTTATATGGATTTAATCCCAATCATATCAAATGTAAAATAAAATTTTCTTAAAATATACCTTATTAAAGGATAGAAAAGAGAAATTAATTACAGATTATTTTGCTGAGCGTTCAATAGGCCTAATAGAATATGTTAATACAAATCCTGGATTTAAGGCAATACTTAAGGAAAGGTTTTTATCAAATAAATAAATGTTACTCTTATTTAATTAATTACAAATCATATAGGTACTCTGATTTTATCGTTAATGAAATAGATTGGAGTGGCCATGTAATAGAATTAACTGACTCTACTATTCCAATTATAAATCCTAACGAGAATGAAGAAGTTAAATTGAAGATGATGTTTACTATTTTTTGATATAAGATTTTAGGATTTATAGAAAAATGTGAATATATGACAACAGAAATTGAGAATCACTTAATTATAATGAATCAACAGAAAAATATAGATGATATATTTAAAATTAATGTAAACTATTAATAACAACTTGTAATTGTATAATTTTAGGTAACAAATTATGATAAATCAATACGTACTATGATTCATAAATACATACGTAATTATTTTAAAGAACTTAGAAGTAAAACAGAAGATCAAAATAATGAAAAATATATAATTATTTTTCATAAAAGTTTGAATATTTATATTTTTTGAAATGAAAATAATAAATTTCAATTAATAATTAAATTTCAAATAAAATTAATTTTATTTTAAACAAAGAAAATAAAGAGATGGAATCAAACAATCAACAAAATGATAATAGAAATATTCCCAAATATTTGCATTTTGTATTATATAAAGAAGGTATTGATACCATCCATGCAGTTAGCAAGATCAGTAGATTATTAGGCATTAAATCATCACGTTTTTCATATGCAGGTATATCCAACTTTTTAATATTTTAGAAATTCTATTTAAAAAAGTATTTTATTTTAGTAATACCCCTTTCCCATTAATATATAAATAATTATTATTAATTTTTTTTTTGAAATATATTTTTAGGGAAATTAATTCTATGTTTAATAAGTAACATTTTGGATTCTTTACATTAATATTTGGACATCTATATGTAAGAAAATTGTTTGACCTGACTTATAGAAATAAAAATATATTTCTGACCTAACCCAATAAAAAATTATTTTTAATATGAATGACCCAAAAATTTTATCTTAAAAATATCCTTCCAAAAATTAAAATAAAAAACATTTAGCTAAGATTTATTTATTTATGTTATAAAAAGAATGAACAAAATTGTAAGAAAATATATAATCAAATTTGAGGGTCTCCATTGATCATAAGATTTTCATCATACTTTTGTCCATTTTGGTTAAAATGGATGATATCATTTTTAATATGAATTCTTATGCAGGTAATTATTCTATTTATTTAATATATCAGATAATTCCAAATCAATTTTTTAACAATATTTAAGATATAATATTAATTTACAGCTATTAAACGAGCCAATCAGAAAAGTGGATGAATTTATGATCCAATAACCTTGCATAGTGAGGCAAATCAATCAAACCATTTATTGATAACAATGATTATATTGAAAAGTATTTTAAAAATATTTTCAAACCCAGCCTGATAGGGATGTACCGATATTTTTTATCTGATCGGGTCGACATTTCACCCATTTTAAAATATCGGTTTTCGGCAAATATTATGAAATTTTCCGATCCGATCCTAAAAAATGGCGTTTTTAACAAAAATAAAATATTATAAAACTTTAAAAAAAGTTATATCTAAAAACCATTTATTTTTATAAAAATCGAAATTGATTTTTATGTTTAATTTTTTAATAATAATAATTAATTAATGAACATTCTGCCATATTGTTTTTTTTGCGCATTCTGCTTATAAAAGTGTGCTATAATCTCTTCAGACTGTTTTTAGCGAAGTCCCCATCGCCACAGACTAACCTCTGATAAATTAAAAATTTTGGTATTTCTAAAAAGAAATATTCGATATATTAATTTAAATATTTATTTCAAATTTTATAATATATTGTTATTACTTATTATGTAAATTGATTAATGTTATTACTTAAATAAGTGATTTATCAATAAAAATATTTTATATACTTTTAGAATTGTAATTGAATTGAATATAAAATATAACTGATCATTATAATATATTTAAATGACATATGTTATTGTATAGTTAAATTATAGATGTTATACTAATAAAAGTATATTAAAAATTAAAACCATTGGTATCTTTAGAGAATACAAAATTAGATATGATACCGGATCGGTAATCGGCCGATATCAATTTAATATCGGATCGGATCGGCCTCTAAAAAGTGGTATCGGTACACCCCTACAATCTGACTACATGAAAAAAAAATTTTCCCATGGGATTTGAACTGAACCCTCCTGAACCCTCGATATTTTGCAAAACCTAAACCTGAAACCTTTTTTTTTTTAAAAAAAAATAATTTCAATTTAAACTTTCATTTATTTTAAATTATATGTTAAAAATAATATATAAAAGCTTATAATTTTGATTTTCATTTATAAAGGGTTTCCTATTTAAAACATTGTTTTTTTATTCAAAAAAAATATTAATTTAAAAAAACATCTTTTATCATTTTTTTGTGGATCATTTTTGTTATATTTAAAAGTCTTCCAGTTTTAGTAAAAAAATTTAAATTTTACCCAGCAAAGCAGATTTTAAAAGTTTTTTTATAAATGATGATAATATATAATAATAGCTATTTTAGGATATTGTTGTTTGTGGATTATTAAATTGATAGTAAGACAAAGTAAAGTACAAAATCACATGATGATAATTTATTTTTATGCCAATACTAATTAAAATTTAAAAAAAATGATGTTTCTGTTATTTTAATTAATTTTAATATTTCTGGTCTACCCTAAACCTGAACCAGGTTCAGAGATTTTTCACTGAACCCAAACCCGAACCTATTTTTTAGAAGGAGGGTTCACATCCCTGATTTTCCACCCAATCCAAAATAAGAATTAATTATTCTGAAAAATTTTTTTAAATTATTTTATTTAAAAAAATATCAAACGATTTTGGTTAGGTGTAGTTTTGCAGACCTCTAGTTACCAGATCTTAAAAAAGTGTCATTCCATATCAAATAATTATAAAAAACATAATTTTTATAGTATCTCTTGAGATTTATATGAAAATCTATATAAAAACTGAGGTACACATAACAAACGAATTATTCTATTTTAACAATCAAAGTATGATAAATGACTTATTTTTATGTATTTCAATTTTCATTAAATTAATTACTAAAAACTACATATTATAAATAATAATTCTAATATCAAAATACAGTGTATACATAAATTGGAAAAATTTTTTTTTAATATGGTAATCCATTTAATCCCATAAATTTTTAAAAATAATGAGTTTCTGTGATTTTTATATAATTTTAAGGATTTATCAATTCAAAGATTTGGTGTTCATGTAAAAAAATTTTAAATATATAATTAATGGTTCTTATATTATTTAAAATGTTTTATATGATATTCTCATTTTATTACATAATCTACAACACTTTATATAAAATTTTAAATTTATATTATATATCATATTCTTAACAGTAGAAATTATAATATTGTAAAAATATGTGTTATATGATAGATAGATTCATACTATTATTAAAATAGCATAAAAATGCATTTTAATAATATTAGACCATTTACATTATATATATGCTATGCTATCTACTGAATTTTAGTGTCTTTATAGAGTTTCCCCATGAAAGTGAAAATTAGGGATTGCTATTTTAATAATATAGACCATTTACATTATATTAGAGCTGTGCCGATCCACATATTTTTCATCGATCCGATATTTTCCGATATTGGTTTAAAACCGATCCGATACAGATCCGATATTTATATTGATTTTTTACCACCCCCCTTCGAACCAAATGTAATTAAGAAATCAATATTTTGTGTGCAAAAAATCTAATTATGCAATTAATTTAATTTTTTTATTTCTAAAATAATTTTAAAAAGTTTACGGATATTGGTAGTATTAAATGAATTTTTCATTATTCCTCCCCTATTAGAATTCAGCAGATAACGCATTTTGCAAATTTATCTTTGTCTTTATAAAATATTTCCATAATTCAGATAACATATTTTAAAAAAAATTCTTTTATTTAAAGTATATAATAAAATTGGCATTATTTAAAAAGATTTAAAATAAATAATTGGAAGTTTCTTTCTATTTTTTTAGAAAAGCTTTTAAAATACTATAAATCTAAAAAATAAATAAAATTTAAGAGGTGTTGTGCATTTGCTTGTTTAAAAAAAAAATTATTTAGAAAATATTAATGTAAAATAAAACTTAAAACAACAAAAAAAGTAAAGTAAAAAGATCGGATCGGATTGGGGTTTTTATAGGTATCGGCCAGATCCGATATTGTTGGAAAACTCGAGATATCGGTGCCGATCCGATATTTAATATCGGCACTGCCCTAAGCTACTAAATTTTAGTGTCTTTATAGAGTTTCCCCATAAAAGTGAAAATTAGGAATTTCATTTTTTTCCATACATATAGATTGGTCTTAGTGAATTTAATATAATTTTTTAGAATAGGATCAAATTAACGCCATATTAAAATAATAAAACATTTAGAAAATTCATGAAAAATATATATATAATATTGACATTAAATCTGAAAACTCTAGCCTGAACTCAGCCCAGGCCTATTTAAAAAAAATAGGTAAGGTCTAATATTTGAGCTTAATATTTTAAAATTTTTGTGAGAAACAAGGCGTCAATATTTTCTATTTATAGAATATTTTTTAACTTAATTTAAATAAATTTGGGTTAGGCCAAAATAATTTATATTTATATTTCGGGTTGGGTTTTTTGGGACAAATAAAAAACATTGGTTTGGCTCTGGGCTTGTAAAATTAGGCCTGGTGCAGGTCACTAATTAAAATCATTATTTAATATTTGATAAATCTTTGATTGAATGACAATTAATAAACGTAAAAATGGTTCATTTTCCATACTTTGACCTATGATATCTCAAAAAATATAAGAGCCAGAATGTTACAATTTGAAAGAACTAGAAATTATTGTAGAAGTTCTTACCTAAAATTAAAATAATCAATGCAATATATAATACATTAATATTAAGCTATCTTTTATCTACTTGAATTTTATGCCCAATTTAAATATTAGTTTCTAATATTGAATGAAATATTGATTTTTTTTTCTGTTAATAATTGTTCCAGTGATCTTAGATAGTTTTTAACATTTCGAAAACTGAATATTTTCTCAATTTAATTTTTTCAACAAACGCATTCATCAATAAATGTGAAAATGATGTTGCGGATTATCAGATACTGGTCACAGGCCCTTCAAAGCAATTTAGGATTTAGTTAACGTTTTATAATACTTTACGATTAATTGGTAAGATTAATCTAATTTTAAAAGAATTATATTTATTTTATTAATACACGATTAAATATATAAAATTTTTAAGATTACCTTAAAACTTTTTAAAAAATATAAATTATTAAAATTAAACATAAACATAAACATAAAAAATTAAGAAGATCATAAACATTAGAGAAAATAAAATATAATCTGGCGCATGGTAAGAAAAAATGATTTTTGAAAATAAGAATTCTTGGTTACAAAAATATAGTTTATAAAATATTCATTTTTAAGTAATTTCCAAATTTATTAAAATTTAACAAAAGATGATTGACCTGACATTCAATAAAATATAAAGAAATATAGCCCTAAGGGTAAAATTATGAGTTATAAAATAAAATTATTTATATAAAATTATGAATATTCAACGTTTATAATTCTCGATTTGAAAAAAAACAATTTCCCCAAATAATTAGCAAAAAAATATCTTACATATTTTTAGACATCTCAAAAGAGGAGAGGACAACTGGTAACCTTATATGCAAAATGAGGTTATATAATTAAGACTCATGAAAAATTATCTATTTTTTTCATTATTGGCCTTGATTGAATTGGTCATATGTTAAAGACTACATTATTTTAAAATTGCAGATATTATAGTTTTAGAAAAAGAACATTTTAATTTATTTTTATATTGGTCTTTTTATCTATTGTACAAAACCTAAACAATATTTTTTTAAATATGTAATTTAGCTTATTTTTAGGCATGAGCGCTTGCGAGAAGGGGCAAGGGCAAGGTTGCCGTGTAAAAATTTATTGCGGGAGAATTATATAAAAAAGCAAATAATTTTTTTATAATAGTTCATATTTTTTTAAAATCAAAAATCGAATATATTTTTTGAATATTTTTCTCTTCTTCCCTTCCCTCTCCAACAGAAATCCTGTAGTCCCCCCCCCCTCCCTTGGAATTTAAATAATTTATATGAGCATGGGTCATTGAAAGATGATTATCATTTTTGATCAATATATAATTTTAAATTTCCATGAATATTGATTGTTATAAATTTTTAAGCTTCCATCCCATGAATATTATTTTCACTTACACAATAATAAATTAATCAAACATTAAAATCTTCCCAATATGTACAGATTATTATATTGCGCCAACTGGCGGGATATAATTTATTCCGACTTATAGTTTTTAATAGATTTTGATAATAAAACAAAGTATAGTGTTTTTTAAAAATATTATAAATTTATACTCTATATATAATAATTTTAAAAAAAAATTGTTTTTACATCTTGTACAATAATTTAAAAAAAGACCTTATATTATTAAAATTATGTAGTTTTTAGAATCGCTAATTGAATGCATTTTTTTTATTTTTCCCCTAATATCCAAATATATAAGAAGACTAATATTAAGTTTTCGCGATCTTGTCCATATTTTACTAAATATTTAGAAGAAGGTTAACCGAAAATCTCGTTTTCTGATGTCAGTTGACGTGGAATAACCCAACTCTATTGATTGAATTTAAAATTTGTGCGCATTTTGGCTTACCATAAAATAAAATTCTAAGTAAACAAATATAATTTATACTTTAACAAAAATTTTTTTGCTGATCAAGGTACCAAAGATAAAAGAGCATTGACAACTCAAAGGATGTCCGTTTTTAAGGTGGAAGCTAAGAAATTAGCTGGAATTAACAAAATTAATATTATTATACCTAAACCTTCAATCAATGAATTACCCGAGGCATATGATAATTTAGAAAAAACAAATGTGGGGTCTGAAGTTATTAAAGGATCTTTGAAAGTTGGAAATTTCAAATATAGTCAAACATCTATAAATCTGGGTCAACTCTCTGGCAATCTATTCAATCTTAAACTAAGGTGTAGTATGTTTTTTTTTCATGTTTTCACGAAAATAAATGAGTTAAATAACATATATAGGCTAGTGTAAAAAAATTCTAAGCCTGCACGTCCCGGGCACGTTATTAGAAATAGAATAAAATATTATTGTTCTCCTTATTCTTCCCTTTGTCTGATTTAATTCCATTATAATATGTTAAAAAAGATATAAAAAAATAAAGAGATGGGAAATATTTACTAGATTCATTTTTACATCATATTTTGTAACAAATAGAATAAAATTGATAAACATAAATAAATTATCGAAAGTTATTGCTTGAATATTTAAATTTAAATGCATAACATTAATTATATTATTAGGCTTGATATTTTTCCCCTATACGCTTTTTTTTTAAATTGTGCCGCAACAGGCCATACTCGTCTATATCTGAGAATAAAATTGCTACCTGGCCGCGGGCGGGCTTGGCCAAAAAAATTCGATTTGCAGTTCTCTAGTCTCTGTAACTTGACATTAAACAATTTGGTCAAAATAATAACATTCATTTATGGTTAAAGCAGAGATGCGATAGATACTTTGTATCGGTATCGGACTAATACTCACAGTATTAGTATCTACTTATACTTTAAATTATAATCATTACCAGTGACTGATGTCCAAAAATGATAATTAATCTTTTTAATTAAAAAAATTGGACTGACAGAGTTATGAATGGAAATAAAATAAGAGTTGATATACAAATTTCTATTTTACTTTTAAAATTTATTTACTTTATTATCAAGAATAATCATACAAGAAGAGTAATAACAAGTTTTTTTTTATGATTGAAAGACATTTTTCACTTTCAAAAGGTTAATTTAGTGCCGGGTATCGGACTTATAGGTCTGAAATTTGTATTTAAATGAATAGTTTGCAAATATTCAAAAATAATTATGTTTTTTTAATCAAATTAATAATAAAACTTTTAGGAATCTAAACTTTTCTCCATACACATCCGACTCTTTGTCTTTCCTTTTCGATTCCTTATCTCAAAATGGGTTTATCAATTATTTTGGTCATCAAAGATTTGGCACAAATGGAGATACCTGGAAAATAGGGAAACTTTTGTTATCAAATAAGTTTTCCGAGGCCTTAAATGCGCTTTTGGACCCTGATAAGGATGTCAAGATGATACCGGAATTGAGGCAGTTTATAAAGGACTGGAGAAGCAGAAATCTTGGCCTAGGCAAAAAAAAGATTGGCAATGATAAAATAATCGATATAAGTTTAAATTTGGAGGTTGTTAGGAAAGATGATCAAAATATAGATTCAAGTTGTTACTCTTCAATAATATCCGGCATCGAGATCGCTGAGCAACCAGCAAGTTATAATAACGCAATCAAGGTCCAAAAGGATATCCACATTGGATGTAAAATAGGCCAAGATAAAACTTTTGTTGACTCCTCTGATACAAATGGCAAAGTGGGCGAGGAGAAAAATGTTAGTCAGCATTCCCTTTCTGTTGAAGAATTTGATATAGAAGATAAGGCAAAAATTTTCACAGGACAAATTAATACTGATCTCAATAGTTTTAAAATTGAAAGTCTTAACCAGCCTTTTTCACAATGGGAGAGTTTAAACGATAACAAAAATCAAGAAGAAACCACGAAAGATCATCACCCTACATTCGTACCTAAAAAAATAGCAGACAGTTTGGAATATAAACTCATAAAGGCTTTAGATCTGTATGGACCCAAAGACCCTCTCAAGATCTTTAACACAGCTTTACATAGGAATATGCGACTCCTATTTGTTCATGCTTACCAAAGTTATATATGGAATAAAGTTGTTTCCGAAATACTATGCTTAAGAAGGAAGAGGATTGCAAATTTGGATGGAATGGATAGATGTGAATACGAGATAAAAGTCGGGGACTTGGTGTTTAAGACTGTCTCTGAAGGTTTACCTATCTTTTATACAAAAATTTTAAAGAACCGATTTAAAAAATATATATTTGGACGATATTATTATTTTAGAAATGTCCTAGTCGTTCTATGTGCAATACTGTCCCACCCGACCCCGTTAAACAAACGGACTTGTCTACCGTTCTAAAAAAGAACGGCTCTTAAATCAATCCTGTTTGATCGGGCTGGCATATATATAAATTTTATTATTTTATCAAAACAGTATATGTAATTAAGTAGCAATAATCTAATTATATATTATATTATTTATGACATTATCATTATAGATGAACCCGCTCCGACTAAAAAGATTAAAACTGATACCCCACTTTCTTTCAAAAAAGATGACAATAAGAATACCTTTAAAACTGACTCAAGGACGAATAATCTCAAATCACGAGTTATTTATGTTACCGACGACAATATATCTCAATATTCGTTCAAAGATATCGTTTTGCCATTGCCTGGTTATGAAATTTTTTACCCTAAAAGTCAAGATATCTTAGACCTTTACCGAAAATTTATGGGAGCCGATGGTTTGAGGTCATTTTTATACTAGTGAATTGGATAATTTTTTTTAGATAACATTTAATTGTTACAATTGCGGCCTCGCTCGCTCTTATGTACTACAGTCAGGGTCGGGCAAATTTTCAAAAATGTGTATTCCAATATAAATACAAATACACTTCAAAAAAAAGTATTTGAATATAAATACAAATACGTTTTGAACTAATATATTCAGAATATAAAAACTAATAGCCACAAAAACCTTTCAATATCTGGTGTATTGTTGGCACTTAAGGGAATAAGTATAACTCGTGCAGAAAGCAATCCTGTCAGAAAAATGGCATTATGAAGTTTTCCCAACAACATCTATCATTACGGTGTTCTGAATAGATCTATAAGAGATTTTTTTTCAACCCAACCCATAGGTAAAAAGCCTGCGGGAATCTAATCCATCTACCCTGCTATTCATCAATTCTGATAACATGATAAACTGTTAGATCAATTCAAAATATTTATTTCTATATTTGTTATATTTAACAGGTATGAGCACATGAAAAGAAAGGTTCCGGAATTTTCGCTCTCTGGAGATTACAGAAGAATAATAGAATTTCCTAAAAATTTAGAATGGCATTACATAAGTAAATAAATTTTACTGGTTTTTATATTAAATATATTTATATTTAGGAGGCGAAAGTGAGGTGTCAGATTATATAGATTTAAAATTTTCTCTACTAGCCTCATCTTATGCCACGATGTGTATCAGAGAATTAACTAAGCAAACCGCTCAAGAAATGATTCATTTATAGATTACTTATTTTATATATCAATTTATAATAGTAATAAAATTTGGTGCTATTGTTAGATAAGTTAATTTGAAATACTCAATAAACATACATGTCTAGAGAGGAAACTAAAAAATATAAAAGAATATATTTTCTATATCTAAAATAGGGGAAACCAGGTCTAAATGAAACTGAATTTGACAAAAGTCCATAAAACTAAGATGCATTGACTTAAATGATTGAATAATATATCTAACGGTAGTATAAGGTCTCAATTTGCATCAAAAAATTGGGGCAGGTTGAAATACAAACCAAGGCACATTGGAACGCCAAAATTTTAATTCTTTTAGATTAATTTTATTCATTTAATAGAATATTGAATTTAAAACACTAAAATAATAGTTTTAAATAGTGCTATAAACATATATAGAAAAATTGAACGCGTTCAACGTTCATTGACAAAAATCGAACGCGTTTAAAAGTTCACCTCCAAAAAGGAACACGTTCACATTCATGAACACGTTTATGTTCGTTCAAAACATAATTTTTAAAAAAATATATAATATAATATAAATAAATACCATATATTTTTTAACACAATATATTAGCCATGTTTAAAATTAATAGTTAAGTGACTGACTAAAAATGATTTTTATTTATTAAAAATTATTTTTTATTAATTTTTAATATATATAGTAATTCCTTAGATTATAGGATGTAAAAGCTATTAGTTCAATTTATAAAACGTGGAATATTTGTTCCACTGGCAGAATTCAAATATCCATTACTTTAAAACAAATGTTTATTAAATTAAATTATACCAAAATCTTTCGTATAAAAATAATAATAAATATCGCCTTTTTTTCTTTTTGATACATTCTCTTTTAAAACTATAATAAACAAAAACATTATTAATATATCAAAATACATAACACTCACTATATCCTTGTCTCATATAATCATGATTATAACATATCCCCCTTTTCCACTTTAACCTTGTATTTCGTACTGCCAATTATTTCTTCCACCTTTCCAATCGTCCGTCTGAATTTTCCTTTGAACATCGAAACATATATTTCTTGCCCCAGGCAAAATTTATTATACTTCACTACGTATCCGGCCCTTTCATTTCCCCCTTCTTTTAACAAATCCAGCATTAACAATGTCCTTCCTTCCAAGAATTTTTCCGCTAGAGACTCATCTTCATTTCCTGCTATTGTAAAACAATTGAGATAAACATCTTTCACTGTCATCATACTTATCCTTTTTCAAACACGATTTCACCATTCTCTCGGGGTGATTTGGGAGCCGTGATAACATGCTTGATACTGTGCATCTCAAAACGCCTTAAACGCTACACTTGTAAACGCCGTTCCACCATCAGTTGCTATCATCTTTACCATTCCATACATTCCAAAAAATTCCTTCAATATTCTTATAACTATTACTGACGTTATCCCGACACCTTTTAGCAATCAATCCATTTGGATAAAGCATCCACTATAAGAAAATAATGCTTCTTATCCCATTCAAAAATATCCAAATGTATCCGTTCCATGCCTGTGTAGTTTCCTTCCAGCTATTACCCTTCCTCCTTTGTGGATTTGACCAAACATTACACGTTAGGCACTCTGCACACCTTTCTAATATCCTTCTGCATTGACGGCTACCATACATATTCTTCAGCCTATTGTTTCATTCTACTTACCCCTTGATGTACCCCATCCAGCATTTTGACTAATTTATCCTTCAATCTTTGCTCCACTATAGTTCTATTTCCCGAACCAAACAGTAATCTATAATTGTTATTTCCGGTTCCACCAATCTATATGAATTATCCTTCCTTTCCCAATTTTTTCTCTTATTAAACATTGTTTAATTTTCTTCAACTCCTCATCCTTTCGCGTGCTTTGTTTTATTTCTTGCCAAGTCAGAGAGGTCGCTAGCCTTTACAATCTTAGGGGGCTCAACTAAAAAAACGCCCCCCCCCATACTCCTTAATTTGCGAGCCTTAGGCCCTCTTTTGATTAATATATTATACTTTTTTAAAATTTAATAACTGAACAATTATTCTGAATTTCATATTTTGTGATTTATTATATTATACATACAAAGTATACTAACCAATGATGTATATAACTATAGATTGACGATTCATTCATTCAATGCATTATAAAAGTGTCCACACATTGTAATCAGCTGTAGCGCCATTTTGTAGTTTGGTTATCCATTATTTGTCAGCAAGAAATATTAATATATAGAAAACAAGTCTACTACGATAATTTAGTTTTAAAGGTTTCGATTTATGATATAATATTTTATAGTATCTTTTATTCTTAAATTTTCATAAGACTTTTTTTATGAATGTGGACTAGGTGATTATATTTAAAAAATGAATCTAAGACTAACCCACCTTTTAATTTTTTAAAATATAGTTTAACTTAATTCTGCACGGATTTATAAATCTTATGTTAATGCATCTTAGGATACATGCAAAACAGATCTTTTAATATCACTATCATTTATTATTTTATTTAGATAATGGGAGTGTGCTGTGTTCATAATTGTAATAAAACAAATAAAATGGAATCTAATACACATATTTCTTATCATAAGTATATATATTATTTTTATATGCAACATATTTATTACATAAAGCATTAATAAGCTACAAACATTGAAAAAAAATCCTTATTTAGTAAAAATATAAAGTTGATTTATGATATAATATTTTATAGTATCTTTTATTCTTAAATTTTCATAAGACTTTTTTTATGAATGTGGACTAGGTGATTATATTTAAAAAATGAATCTAAGACTAACCCACCTTTTAATTTTTTAATATATAGTTTAACTTAATTCTGCACGGATTTATAAATCTTATGTTAATGCATCTTAGGATAATGCAAAACAGATCTTTTAATATCACTATCATTTATTATTTTATTTAGATAATGGGAGTGTGCTGTGTTCATAATTGTAATAAAACAAATAAAATGGAATCTAATACACATATTTCTTATCATAAGTATATATATTATTTTTTATATGCAACATATTTATTACATAAAGCATTAATAAGCTACAAACATTGAAAAAAAATCCTTATTTAGTAAAAATATAAAGTTTTCTCATTTTTACTGCTAGGACAAATAATGCTTCTTCCTCTTGAGTTGATAAGATTTCTATTTTGAACTTTGCCTAAATATTTTTCTGGATAAAATATTAAGTTAGCCATTTTTAAAATACATATTTACTATGATACAGTTTCATTTTTAAATATTTGTAAGAAATATGTAAACCATATATATATTAATAGAGGCTCTGCCAATCAACAAATTTTCACTGATTCAATACTATATTACTAATAACTGATCTGATATTAATATTGATTGTTATATACTATCTATCTTTGTATCAATGTCATAAATATATCTTATATTTTACTCATTATTATTCACCTATTTTTAAATATAGATTTCCATTAAAATCCAAAGAATTATTGGAAAAATGGTTACATGCTATAAATAGAAAAAATTTTATGCCTAATAAATATAGTATTATTTGTGGAAGGCATTTTAAAAATACTTGTTTCATTCAAACTATATCTGGAAAGATTTTATTGAAGGAAGATTCTATTCCATCGATATTTAGTATATCTAAGCCACTTCATGATGTATGTTAACAATATCATTACATAGTTAAAACAATATTTTAAAATATATACTTTTTAGATAACGAATGTTTATTCAAATATACAAACACCATTAAAAAGTGATATATTATATGAAAAAGATCCAATTATACATATAACAAATGATCATAATTATTCCGCGACATATGAAACATTAAAAAGAAAAATTATTTATCAAGAGGCTATAATTAAACGCTTAAAAAAAAGAGCACATGCTTATTATAGGAGCTCAAAAAGAGGAAAAAATAAAATAATCAATTTACAAACAATAATCACTTCACTAAAAGATGAAAATTTGTTATCAGATGATGTCGAAAATATTATAGACAGGCACTTTACAGGGACATCTGCTATATTCCTTAAAACACATATACACAGTGGAGGCATCTCAAACCCACAAAAAAAATATATACAAGTGAATTCCGTCAATTTGCATTGACTATGCATTTTTATTCACCTAAGGCTTACAGATATCTCAAATCACACTTTTGTATGCCTTCGGAATCCACATTAAGGGCATGGAGTAGCAAGATTGAAATCATGCCAGGTTTATTATAATAATTTTAAAAAAAATAAATTAAATTAAATAAAGGTTTCCTTTCTATTTCATTTACCCAAATTAAAAGCTACCAAAAAAAATCAGAAAAGCAGTTATATTGTGTACTTAGCCTTGATGAAATGCATATTAAAACACAAATAGATTATGATCCCCACAAAGCAGAATATCATGGTTATGTTGATTTAGGTGATGGGACAAAATCAACAAAGGAAGATAAATCTTGTCCAGAAGCAACAAAGGCACTGTTTCTTATGGCTACATGTCTTAATAGCAGCTGGAAAATGCCAATAGCCTATTTTCTAGTTTCACAAATGAATTCAGATATCCTAGCTAATTTAGTGAGAGTTGCATTGTTCAATATAAATGAAACAGGAGTTATCTGTAAGGCCATAGTATGTGATGGTTGTGCTGTTAATAAAAAAATGAGCAAACTGCTTGGTGTTAGTATGGATCCTGATAATATCATTCCATATATTGAGCTGGAATTTTATGAATCAGAAAAAATATACATGTTACTAGATGTTTGTCATATGCTCAAATTACTTAGAAATCTATTAGCGGAGGAGGAAATTTTAATAAATGAATCAAATGGAGAGGTAGCTAGCTAAATTTGGTTAAATATTTATTTTGTATTTATAGTTAATAGATTGGAAGCATATACAAAATTTACACAAATTGCAGGAGTGCGAAGGTTTACGTGCTGCAAATAAATTGCGCAAAGCACATATTGCTTTCCAAAAACAAAAAATGAAAGTTTGATAATAAATATATAATTATTAAATATTTTTTAAGGTAAAACTTGCTGTTCA